TGTGCTAAATTAAACATACTATTAAACTTGAAGCTGAAGGCTTCACAATTATTCGTAGTTCGAATTATAGAATACAAATACATTGCCCACACAGAAAGTGGTTGGTCACAAACAGACTTAATGTATGTATTTAATATGTAATCAGAAAATTGCTGTAGTTTTTTATCTTCAAGTAAAATTGATACAATATTGTTGGTAAACCAATCTTCTATTTCATTTGGTTTTAAAAAATTAGAGGCCAAAAAAATATTACTTCTAATTATTTAAATAAAATCGGACGCAATTCGTGTACCTACATATCAATTTTTTTTCGGGACGCAATTCGTGTGTAGCCAATTTAAACAACATTTTTTTTTCAAAATGTTAATTGTTTTATTAAAATGATAAGATTATTTCTTGATTCTTTCTGTCTTTTTTTTTGTGATTTTCATAAAAATTATGAGGAAATTTAATGTTCAATGTTCACATTTGAGTTAACATTTAAATTTTTGTAAAAACTACATGTATATACCACAAATTATTGGTGCATCTGTTTGTTTTTCGAAAGTATAATTTAATAAAACTACATTTTATTATATTATAATAATTTCTTTTTATATTTTATAATCTGTTATATTCAAATTCAATTTAAATAAATATTTTAAATATTTATATATAAAACTATTTACATAGAGAAAAATAAAAACTTCTTAAAATATAATATATTTTAATTTTTAGAAATTTAGTTAAACAAGTATAGGTCACCATCACTGTCATTCCCTCATCAAATTTACTCATTGTACATATAATAGTATAGATTGTAAATATTCAATAAACGATATTTTATTTAAAAAAAAGAAAAGTTCACTATTTTGAAGCCACATCACTATGAATTATACATTTTAGTATCAAGTTACTAATGTTTTACCGAATTAAAATATGACCTTGGAAAATCATTATGAGAAAAATAATATAATTAATTCTCTCCACGTTATTGGACTACGAGTGCCTTTGTATTGTTAGTAAGCGAATACTTTGTATGTTATATAACCCCTATACACGCATGTACCTATTTTGCATAACCTGAACGCCTTTCATTTATTTGTGTTAAACGGAATTCACAAATTTACTATATTACAAAAAATACTTTTCAATTGTATATTTTTAACGTAAATAAATATTATACTTAATATAGATATTAAATTGGTTTTATTTCACTAACTCAAAATGAAAATAATTTTAGTGCCGTGTTTTACTAAATCTGAGAACCACTCAGCCTTTTGAAGAAGTCGTTGAAGACTTAGGACATGTGCTCAAAATGAATAACGCTAAACGAATGTTAACCGTCTCAAATCAAGAAGTAATAATTTATGATTATATTTCTAAATATTTATCTTATACAAAATAATTATTTAGGTGCGTAGCTTTTCTCAACTAAGAAATGAGTTTTCTGACGTGGATACGTTTTATATTACGTCTGAATCACGTGTCCTCTCGCCACCATTTAGAAGATCGAGATCCAGAGGGGCACTAGCCGTTGAACCGATTATAAATACAGTACCTACAAAATCAGAAAAACAAAGAAGAGCTAGAAGTAAAAGCCGACCTAGAGCATTATATGCAGCTGATGCAGATATTGTGAAAGTGCCTCCAGGCAAGTAAAATAAAATAGTGAAATATAATAGAATTATAATGTTAAAAATGAATTCAAATTTAAGACTACACGGTCTTAGATGTGATGAAAGAAGAACCAATTCGCGTGCAAATAAGAGGAGCGAGAAAAACATATTTTCCTCCAATGGTTCATCCTCCAGCAGATGACTCACCACCTGATAAAAGATTAACTTTAAACTGGGTGTATCCTTTTACAAATATACAATTAATAATAACAGTACAATAAAACTCAATATTCAAAGTATAAATTATACATAACATTTTTAATTGTTTTCATGTTATAACTTATTTAATAATGTGTCATTTTTTTCAATGAATCAAATAATTAATAGCTGATAAAATCATCAACCACCTATTGAAAATATAAAAATAATATCATACCATACTTTTTATCAGAAAATTAAAGGTTTTTAAAACAATTAGATTTATGAATATCATAAATTAACGAATTAATTATTACTATTAATTATTGGTAATAACACAAATAATAAAAAGGAAAATAATAATTTATTTAAATTAATATCTTTAACATAATTTTTCTTCACTTCTAATATTGAATAGTCATGGGTATCGAGGAATTGATACAAAAAGAAACCTATGGGTTTTACCTACAGGAGAACTCTTGTATTACGTAGCAGCTGTAGCCGTGCTTTACGATAGAGACGAAGATACACAGAGGCATTATATTGGACATACAGAAGATATTCAATGGTAATAAAATATTATTTTTTTTTTCTTTAAAAATATAAAAAAATTTATTTTCCAGTATGGATATACATCCTTCGAAAGAAATGGTAGCTTCAGCTCAAAAAGCTGGCAGAACACGTAAAACACAAGCTCATATCAGAATATGGAGTCCTGAAACACTCTATACTTTATATGTAGTTGGCAATGGAGAATTCGAAGAAGGAGTTAGCACATTAGCATTCTCTCAACTTGTATGTGATTTATTTCAAAATAAATTGTACACTTCATAATGCATTGAAATTGTATTATTAAAGAAATTTATATTTTAGACTGGAGGAAATTACTTATTAGCTGTCGATTGTGGAAGAGAAAAAATGCTATCTGTATGGCAATGGCAATGGGGCCATTTATTAGGAAAAGTGGCTGTAAGGACCAATATTTTATAGTTATTCGTAACCAATAGTATTTAAAATGTGTGACTGAATTCTTATAGTATGTATTTGTTATAAATGTTTTTAACAGACTATGCAAACTGATGATATCCTAGGAGCAGCTTTTCATCCTTTAGATGACAATTTAATGATAACTTATGGAAAAGGACATCTAACATTTTGGACCAGGCGGAAGGATGGATTTTTTGAAAAAATTGATATCATAAAAGCGGTAATACACTTGGAAGTTATTTTTAAACATTTTAATTTTTACAATACAACATCTTTCTCATATTTCAGCCTTCTAGGACAGTTGTTACCAGTTTACAGTTCGAACAAGAAGGTGATGTAATTACAGCGGATGGTGATGGATTCATTACTATTTATTCTGTGGACAGTGATGGCGCATATTACGTCAGGATGGAATTTGAGGTTAGTAATAATTAAATATAATTGATAAAATGTCATTATTCACTATCGTTATCTTTTTAGGCACATAACAAAGGTATCAATGCTCTTATAATGTTACCAGAAGGTACTCTTTTATCTGGAGGCGAAAAAGATCGAAAAATCATAGCGTGGGATTCATTACAAAATTACAATAAAATTACAGAAACTAAGGTACCTATAGTAATTATAATGCTTTTATAATTATATTTCTCACATAATATTTAAACTAAAATAGCTAACAGAAGTTTATGGTGGTGTAAGAAGTTTATACCCTCAACGACCAGGAAGAAATGATGGAAACATATATGTAGGCACAATCAAAAATCATATTTTAGAAGGATCAATGCAAAGAAGATTTAATAGAGTGCGTCTACACATTAACAGAAATTAAGTAGAATTGTTATTGTTTACAATTTCTTTGCAGATAATATTTGGCCATAGTAAACAACTATGGGGTTTAGCTGTCCATCCAGATGATGAACTTTTTGCTACAGCTGGTTATGATAAAAATATTTGTCTTTGGAAAAGACATACTTTATTATGGAGCACCCAAGTAAGCGCATACATATTAATAAGCAGGTTTTTTTTTATATCTATATATATATAGTGTAAATTGGATACTTAAATGAACAATTTTGATTCATTTTCTTTAAATATTATCATAAATAATATTCATACATGTGATTTGTAATTAAGAACAATTTTTTTAAATTTAATCTAAACAATATCAAATAAATGTAAGATTAATTAGACGTTAAATTTTGTAATAAATAATAAAACATTAAATACATATCAGAATATTTTCAAGACAAAAATTATTTAATAATATTCAATGGCTACAAGAAATGGTAATAGAGACCACATTGAAAGATATAAAAATTTTTTTTTAAGATTCACAGAATAAATTACAAGTTAATATACTTAATTTACATTGGTTTTTTTTTTTATCTTAAACGTACCTATCTAAAATTTTAAAGACATAAAATCTAAAGAAAAAACAAAAGTTAGTTATGCCAAAATGGATATAAATTTTACTCAGATATTTATTAATTTAGTTGGAGTTCAATGCTAGAGAAAAATATAATATCTACATTTTACGATCAACGTAAAAAATTTAAATACTGATAACCTCTAAAATATAATCAAGTGATTTGAAAATGTATTATGGGCCATATAAAATAAGTACGTGGTACGGATGTGGCCCTCGAGTCGCCAGTAACCCTTCCTGGTATATAGCATGATTCATTTCTTAGAAATATCTCCAAAATAACTACCATTACGTAAGCTTGTTCTATTTATTTTTTCCATTGAAACAAACATCAGTAGTTTTTGTTGATATCTTTTTTATTTGTAAGAGTAAAATGGAATGTAGAATCTATTCTAAATATTAAATTATCACATGTGTGAACTTCACTCACAGTGAAGTTAGTCTGGTGTGGATCAGTGCAGAGCAACCAGAACGATGGTAGGGAAGAGAATCTACAGAATTAAATTTTCAGAATGTTTTTTATTGCACTAATACGGTTTCGAATTGATGATTGCGCGAATTGTAGCCAAATGTATGACATCTGCACCACACTACCTCAATATACTATTTATAAAATTATCATGGGTGTTTAAATTTCATAAATTTTTATTAATTGTATTAATTAATTTTTATTTTATGTCTTGTTTATATAGATTGCATATGAATGTGTTTCACTTACTTTTCATCCATTTGGTACTGCTCTTATGGCTGGTTCAGTTGAAGGATATTTGATTATTTTAAATGCTGAAAATGGTTCTGTGGTATCTAGCGTTAGAGTGTGTGGTTCTGCCTTGACGTGTATGGGTTTCAATCCAGGTAACATAATAATATATCGAATAAAAATAACTTGTACTAATATGTGGATATCAAGTGTTTATAATTTTACATGTTCGCGTTTTATTTCGACCTAATCATTTTAATGATAAAGAACAATATTTTCAGCCGGCGATACAATAGCCGTTGGCTCTCAAAATGGTAGTGTATATCTATATCGAGTGAGCAGAGACGGTTTCACATTCAAAAAGTCCAATAAAATTAGAGGCGTTCAACCACTAGTGCATTTGGATTGGAGTACGGATGGAAATTATTTACAAACAGTTTCTACCGAATACGACTTAGTTTACTGTACATAACACATAACTTATGGAAATATTTTTTTAATTTATACAAATATGTTTACAATTTATATTTTAGGGGACGTAAAAGGATTAATTCAAGAAAAAAGTGCACTTGCAATGAAAGACGTTAAATGGTACACATACAACGCAACTATAGGCTACTTGATTTCAGGCAAGACAAATTTTTAATCTTTTAGATAGTTAATAGTTTATAATTTTAACAATATTTTTTTATTTTTTTAATAAATTCACATACATGCACATTAATTTAAAATTGAGTTTGTTTATTTTTAAAATATTATTTATTTATTTTGAATTTAATTATAAATAATAAGAAGTTAAGTTTCATTTTAAATCAATTATACTTGAATTTTTATCAATAAATTAATGAAATTTAATTTTAGGTACCTAAATAAAAATACTTACCTTTAGAATTAATATATTTTTATGATTATTTTTCTTTTCAGCTGAATTAATATAAAGATAACGTACATTAACTAATAATATTTAAATGAACATTATAATTTCATCAAATCTTCTACATACGCGCATTTAATCAATACTATACAGTTTTGATAGAATACAATTCGGAATATATTCCTTATATAAATGTAGGTTTATTGAATTTTTTCGGACACAAAATAATAGATAAATTCAAAATAAACCAATTTTATCATAACTTAAACTTAATATATTTAAAAAAAATAGATAACAAACAATTTACTTTTTTTTTTAAATTCTAATATAACTTAGAAATTAATCAGACTAAAGCGTAACTCTTAATAAAAAAACACAGACATAAACTTGATATAAGTAATCTTTTTTTTTCTTGTTCTATAATCATAATATTGATTTTGATTATACGATATAAACATTTTTATCATTTAAGCTATACATATTTATTATGAATATATTTAAATTATATTCAATTTTAGACATTTAAACAACGAAGAAAATAAATTTTATGATCTGTGTATTGGTTTCGTGTTTCAATTTGCTCATCTTAATTTTGGTTTGAGATATGGTTTAATTTTAAATTTTAATACAAGACTTATCTCATACATTGAATTTTGTATACTTCTAATATGTGTTTTATACTCAAAAGTTAAAGAAATTAATTTGAAAATATATATTTGTTACCAGATAACTGAATTTTTACTATAATAATGAGTTATTTTTTAACAATAATACTGAATATTTAAATTTGAAAATTTTTATTATCATAGGTATTTGGCACAACAGATACTATCCAACTTCGTCAATGATAAGCACTGCCAACAGATCTGCTGCTCATGATCTTTTTATAACTGGAGACACTGATGGATATCTTAGATTATTCAGGTATAAACATTGTAAAACTTTCTTTTAATAATTAATAACAACAATGATTTTTAATTTAATTTAGAATGTAATAAGTCGATTTTTCTTAATCATATTCTATGCATCTCTAATAAATAATTTTTAATGCATTTGTATAGGCATCCGTGTATATTTACCAAATCCGAATACAACGAAGAAAAGGTTTATAGTGGACAAGTATCGAGTGCCAGATTTTTGTACAACGATCGAAACGTGGTAACTGTTGGAGGAACGGATGCGGCCCTTATGTTATGGGATGTCATAGAAGATTAAGTACAAATCCGCTTTATAAATTTTCATTTATATTTTTTCGACTCGAGCACAATTCGAATTCTTCGTCAAATTTTTCGCTCTGGCCCAGTGCCGTCGTGATGAGATTAGAGATATATATGGATGGATTAAATAATTTACCAGCATTTAAAAACCTGCCTTACTTTTAACGTAAAGAACGTCAGAAGAAAAGAATCCTAAAACATAATGCAATTTAACGGTTTTGATATATTATCGATGCCTATATATAGTGGAAGTTACCGTTTTAATAATATTATCAATCACATTAATTTATTTTTTTTCTTGTCCTAATATATTTTATTGATATCACTGCTTAATTTTATAGTAACGCAACATTACATTTTTAATGACAAAGAAATATTTTCATGATTTGTAAATCAGTATATAATGGATTTTGTTTGAAAACAATTATATAAAAAAATATTTTGGAAATTTCAGTTCAGATCATTTATAACGATCGTACATTTATCGACACCTTTTCACTATATCAGTATCATAACCTCACTGCCTGGCATTTTAACATTATAATTAGACATGTTGATATATAATGTTTTTAATTTGTATACTTATAGTTAATACAAATGAAAATAAAGTTTATTAATTTTGAATTTTTTTACTTTATTTAATTTATTTTCCTAACCTGTAACACTATAGAAAAAAACTGTACGTAACATTAATACCTGTATATAACTGTATGTACCTTTAACCTATGCGTATATTAGTAACGTTTCATAAATTATATTGATTACTTACTTGATTCAAAAGTGTATAGTTCCTACATCCGTATATGCCTCCTAAACTTGCAGTATAACTGTGAGAAATCGAAGGATAAATGAAAATTATTTTTCTTACACAAATCGTCGTAACTAAATACAAGTATAAAAATATATATAAATACACGTACAAAAATAAAATGCAAGTAAAAAAAAAACAAAAGTAAAAAAAATATGTTAATACGTAAGTCTAAGCATTTGGGATAATATTAAACAAGCGTCATTCGACCTATGCAATCAAACAATAAAAGGATCTATTAAACAAATCTAAAAGAAAAAAAAAATAATGAAAATAATGGAAGAAGGTATGACATATACTATGCACTACATATAGTGTACATAGGTGTGTGTATATATATATGATGTAAAAGTGTTGAACGATTTAAAAAAAAAAATTACAATATCGTCTGTGGAAAAAAAAATTAAAAGTTATAATAATAAAGTCATAAATAAGAAATATTATATAGCTCTATAGAATCTTTGGTAACATAGATATTCTTAAATGTAATGTAACAACGTGATTACACGTGTACGTATGATTCACATCGAATACGACGCTAAATCAAACTTCGTAACATGTCATAAAAAATATGCGTATAAATATGTTTTACAAGCAAAATGTAGTGGTTAAATCTAGTAACACAGAGTATTTTGTCGAGTTCATATACCGCCGTACCGTGTCATGTCACGTAAAACAACTGTCTCCGATTGGCGGACCGCAGGGTCGCGTTTAGGTGCACCGTTATGCGTTACACGTGGGCCTTGTTACATGTGACCGAGGTGAACATGCAACGGCCGGTAGAACTGATATTTTCGTCCGACTTTTGAACGCGCGCGATCACACATCGCGATGAATTTTACGATTAAACGGTATAACAATAATGCGTAACCAAGATCGGTTGATTGGTGGTTAAACATAAAGAACACATTCGTGGTTACGGTAGAACACGTGATATGAACCGAGAGACGGGCGCGCGACGCGTTACCAGGGTCTCCACATGTTCGGGTCCGTGCCGGGACCATCGTGAGGTCCGGCCGCGGGGGCTGCGGTTGGCCTGTTGGTAGCGGGGGTCACGCGGTGGCTACCAGGCGCCGAGCCGGTCTTGTGGGAAGACGAGGCGACCGCAGTAGGAACGTTTACCGGTATGTCACCTAGAGGCTTTTTGCCAGTGCACGCGGCCGTCGCCATCGGCTTTTTCATCGAGAAGTCCAGCGGCGGGTTCTTATCCGTAACCGCAGCGGCCGCGGCCACGTCCTCGGCCCACGAGCTGGTGGACGACACCGCGGGCTCGTCGCAGAACACGCCGTATGGTGACCGATGATCGGTCCTCGGTGGTGACGACGACAAACCGTGCACAGCGGTGAACGCACTCGTCCGAAGACGTCCGACGGGCTGCGGGGGCGGTGGCTGCGGGGGCGGTGGCAGTGGCACGGGTGACGGGACGAGCGCAATGTCGGGCAGCAAATGCAGAGGGCCCGCCGCAGTGCTCGGCACCAGGGCCGTTGCTAACGGGTCGATCTGCTGCTGTTGCTGCAACGAGTAATTGTGTACGGGCGGTGGTGTGGCCGCAGTCGCCGCGACGTACCTCATTTTGGCCACGCACGAATCTAGGTGTGACATCAACCGCTTCTTGATGTCATCGTCCACACCGTCTAACCGTCCGACGAACCGGTTCACCTCGCCCGCGCACTCTTGGTAACCCGTTTGGAACTTTTGTACCACTACCGCGGTCAAAGCTGCAGACGACGATGACGATGCTTCAATCGTTGGACCAGTGGCTGCCACGGGCACCGGTGGGTGTCGACTGCTTGCACCACCTCGATGCAAGGACTGCAGGTGTCGCACCGTCATTTCCAGAATATCAGCTTTTTCCAATTTCGTGTGTCTTGCCGGCTACAAAATCCAAGTCATCGCAAATATATAATTATCGCACATGTAAACCATTATAACGCTTCGTTCTCGTAAAACGGGTAGTATCATCATCATTAATCGTGTAGATATTCATCTAACCCAAAAAATATGAAAATGCTGAGAAATTAAGTTATATATATAAACATTTTAATCCATAAATACATTTCTCTGTAATGCTAGTCTGCTAGCCGTAAGTATATAAAACTTACTCTATAATACTGCTATAATAAGTTTTCATCAATCAAGATTATTATTAATATTTTTTTTTGCTTGAAGTACATTTTATTTGATACATGCACAACTCTTATGCACTATCATACATAAATATTTATTTATTCTATATCTTATTAGATATTTATGATTTCTAGTGATATCTGGTATATCACGTAATTCCCTTACAAATAGAACCTTCTACTTGTCACATTAAAGAATATAAATTGACAGCATACACATTACACTATTACATGATGATACCAAACTTAGAAAATAAAAAACAAGACAAATAATTTTAAAATGGGAACATTGCAAAACAAACATTTTCTATAAGAACATAAAAAACTGAAAGTTTGTAGTAATAATAAAGTCATGAAAGTAAGCCTTGTAAATAAATTATTTATTTTTAAAGTAAATTATAAATTTTAAGAACAAAATAAATATTTTATCCGAAAACATTTTGAAGTATTTGACTATAAAATGTTGTGAAAGGAAAATAATTTAACTTTTTTAACTATTATTTATTTATTTCTTAATTAACCAATTATTGGTCAAAGTGACTCATAAGTTTTAATTTATGTATTTCAAAATCAAGAATTGAATTAATTTTCTTATGATTAAAAACAGAATAAGTTTTTGATGAATAAATATAATTATAACTTGAAACCATGATATCTGACAGAAATATAAAAACATTTTAATCCACCAAATACATTTTACAATTCTGTACAATGTTTGTTATTTTTCAAATATTAATTTGTTTTCAATTAAAATAAGTGAATAAATTGGAGAACTAAATAAAAAAATTTTAAGAAAAATGGTAAATTCGTTATTTAAAATAGCAATTAAAAAAGCGTTTAAAATTTCTAAAATGTTATTCTCTAATAAATTATCATTAATCAGTATTCAATACTGTTCTAGTAATATTTTCTAACGTTTGTTAATTTGTTTTTAAAATAATATTTAAAACTTAAATTTATCAACAAGTACAATATTTTAGGTTATTACATTTTTATTTTTGATATCTTTAAATTAACTATCAGTGATTTGTTGTATAAATGTACACATATATTTAATGAATGAATCTTATATGTTCACCAACATTCAAATTTTAACTGTCCTAAATGTATATCAAATATCGTGTGATAATTTTACTTTTGTAAGAGTCCACAATTAGATGCAAATAATGCTAGAATACCGTTAAGTGTGCTACTAAGAGATTAACTTATTACATTTACAACTTTACAAATTCGTTTAGAATTAAATTAAAAGATATTTTAGTAACATAAATATAATAATACTATAAATGATACTATAAGATTAATTTTGAAGTCTTATAATTATTTTTAATAATTTTTAAGATATTTTAGTTTGAAAAAAATATGAAAGTTTCAACATAATTTAACTTTAATACATAATAACTTTTGTTATTCTAAAATAGTTTTATACATTTATTGTTTAATTAAGAATAATATTTATAATTTATCAATGAAAAAATACTAATTAAATAAAACCTTATTTTATGTAAATAGTGATAGCCAATATTCATGTTATACATCTATAAATATAATATATTCAATTGTAATCATGTAGTATTTTTATAATTGAAAATAACTTACGTCTTTTTTGAGCGCATCTAATATAAGTGTTTTCAACTCGTTCAGACATTGATTAATTCTGGCTCTCCTTTTCTTTTCCATAATTGGCTTATTGTTCTAAAATAATGAATAGTATGCTAAATGTAATATCAATATATAATATTGAATACATGTATTTTATTAGGGGAAAAATTATTTCAATTATAGTTATTTATATACATTCCGAAAGTACATAAAGTTAAGAACTATGAAAATATAAAATACTTTTCAAGTCATACGATTTAATATTTCCTTTTTTTTTGTACCCCAAAAATATTTAAAGTTTTAAATACATAAGGTTTATCATAAAATGATTCTCCTTTAAATTATATTTAATTAATAAAAACATAAATATAAGCTTAAAAAATGAAAGTTTCATAAAAAAGAAACGTATGTACGAGATGATTTATCCATTTATCAAGATAAACGCGTAACCATTATGTTTATTAACTAAAAACCAATGAAAATGAAAATCGATTTAACATTTAACTTGATAACCGTTTTTAACGGAAAATTAAATAATTATTTAATACACGAGGTGATTAAAGCATATCGTTATCAAAAACCGTCGGTAACTACAATAATCATAATATATTAACATATGAATAATACAAATGATTGCCATCCTACCTTTCGCAACTCGGATTTCGAAAGCTCGTAACGTCTGCCGCAAGGCGGAGCGGATGACGACGACATCCCGGACGAATGCACCCTGGGATCGTCGTCTTCGGAGTCGTTGTTCGTCGACGACATGTCACATGCTTAATATTCAGCTCACGTTTGTTAATTATTTTCTCTCTAAATCTTCTACTTTTCGCGAACGCCCGATGAACAGGAGGACGCGCATCGACCGGCGGGTTTCACCGAGCAAACGACGCGATCGCGCTTACGGATCGTGTTCGCGAGTCCGCGGACGACGAGTGACCGGGATCGACGGGGAAAATCGTAATTTTTCGGGTTGCTGCGCGCGCGATAATCTAAAACGACGACGGCACAAGCGAACCGGTCCATACTGCTTGGTCGTCGTTCCGCAACCTAATGCCGCGACGGCGACGTCGTCGTCCCCACGTTGTGCACCCGTGCAACAATCGGCCACGATAGTGGCCCTATACAATCGCTACCGATCCCGTAACGACGTCGTGCACCTTTGCCGCGCGCGGTACGTACACGTTATAACATCACTATAACACCGTTTTGCGCGCGCTCACGTGTTGCAGCGCGTTGCATTAACGGTAATCATACAGCACGTGGTAACGGAGCACATACACTTACTTTTATTCGTCAATTCAGCGCACACGTTATCCATGTATGATCGATGGTATATAATCACATGCCTTAATGCCTCGTGCAGCTGTACAACTCTGAAATGCGTTTTTCGAAAGCTCGCGCGTTCCATTCGGTCCCCTATGTGATTTGTCGCGACTAGTACTTATACCATGTTTACATGCACTTCAACCATCGATTGTTTTATTGGAAAAACCTTAGAACTTTTGTTTAATCGATTTGTTACCGGTTACCGTTCGGTAACTGGTCCGTTTTCTTACGTACGATAGGAATCCGATCGTTTTCAGTTCTCACCGTTTGTACACAACCACGCGAATTACGAACTTAATAGTAACAGACGTGGCATCACTTATGACCATGATTGCTCATTGTTCGATATATACTGTAAAATTTCTGATACCGCTGTGTATTTTCAGGGATTAAATTATAGGGATGGTTTATATGGGATGGGATATTTTTAAATATTCAATATCAACAATTAAAATTAAAATTATTTTTGCTATAGTTGTCTTTGCAGTGGCGTATTTAGGAATTTTGCTAGGGGGGGGATGAAATATATAATAATACATCCTAACACCCATAAATTCGTACATAATATACATTTTTAAAATCCCCTAACTTGTTACCTATTGAGGTAAGTGTAGATCAAGGCAAAATAAGAATTAATCTTTATAACTACCTCATCATTTTCCAAACAAATTTTTTTATTTGTACTAAAATAAGAAAATAAAGTTTTTTTTTTGTTTTTGAGTATTACTCATATTGTCTTAAAACTTCACAGTTACAACTTACAAAACGCAAAAAATAAAGTCGAACAATAGTCAATTCGGCAGTAAGTCAGTACTCGGAATGGCGCGGCGTCGCTATCCGTCAACGTCCAACGACCGTACATATCTACTTTTAACGAATCACAATATCATACGATAAAATATATATATATATATAGCTATACATTAGCCATAAATTTACTAGTAACAAATTTTCTAAAAATAAAACCGCCCGGCCGCCCTATAGTTAATCCACGGTCTTCATGGTCATTTTATTTTGTTTACCGATTGCTTATCGGGTTTATTATAAACACTCTTGTATGAAAAATAATTCGCAGAAACGTACAAAATACAGTACACCATAATATAGGTATAGTTTTTGTTGCCTGATAGTCGTACATGCCGCCAACGATAAACGATTAGTGGCGATTAGTATATCAGACTATGAGAGCGGTACAATTACCACGACTAGAACATTTAGAAAACAGAAAACATACATGCTTGAAAGTAATATCATATTAAGAATATTAGAGAAAATGAGACAACTTATAGCTACCTAGGAAAAAGAAAAAAAGGTCAAGGGGGGGATCTATCCCCCATATCCCCCCCCGGTAAATACGCCACTGTGTCTTTGCCACCACACAAACACGAATGTATGTTATATTACGCGATGCGCTGACAATATTATGACTCAATTTTTTCGTGATACATTCGACTACGTAATTACCTTGAGATGGCACATTATTGATTGAAAATTTGAAACCCTTTCAAAGCTTAAAAAACCGTCGATTTGATATCTGATGCGTGATTAAAATGTTGTTATATCATTTTACTGCAATAATCTGCGTTGTTTCCCATACTCCTCTGTATGAACAGTATTTATAAATCTTAACGATGGATTCATCAAAAATTCTAATGATAATAACTGTTTTTTACTTAGTTTGAACAACTATTATTATAACATATTCTTTAATTTTTTTTTTTTACCTTCAAAAAAGCTATTTCGGAGTTTTGTATAGTTTCTCCGTGTAAACATTTTTCAAAAGAATATATGATTTTAGGACGAAAATTATAAGATTTAAAAGAGTGATATGGAGGACAAAAAGGCAAAGTGGTTCGAGATCAGAAGCTTGTGAATGCATTTTTTTACCCTCATTCTTTTTGCTTATTAAAAATAAAATGTACAGGTAACGGCAAATTATACGATAAACATCATATATAATAACTATGGAAATAAGATTTCGAATAGATTGAGAAATTCAAAAATAAAAACAATACACATCATAACTATTATTATATTAATAATTAATAAATGACTAAATTTATTATACCTACTATGAATTTTGTCATTCATGATTAATGTTTGTTTAGTCACATTATAGAAAACGCAAAAAATCGCATTCAATTACAAGGTAAAATAATTTATAATTTATAAAAATTGACCCTAGATTAAAAATGAACACACATTATGCCTTATTTTTTTCTTTGTAGATAATCTTTCACGACACGGTGTAAATCTATACGTTTGGGCGTCATTATGTTTCCCGTTTTAATAGTTCTATTTTTACTAAATTTATAGCTGTCAATTAGTATAACACAAAATTTACCTCTTAGAATTTCAAATTTTTCATCAACCTTTAATTCTATTGAAAATAAAACTTTTGATTCACTTTTTATACAATTATACGAGTAAGTTTTAAAACACGTTGTCTACACACGAGAACTCAATACACAACGAACATAACTATCGAACGACGAAAACCGAACGTATTATGTCTGTAGTGTCTAACAGCGTTTGATTGACCGACGTCTCCGAAGCCATTGGATAATAAAGGTCCCTAAACGAATTTTGGCACATAGATATAGTCATACCTGAAGTTCCGCTTTAGAAATATAGGTCACTTTCATTTCTGTAGATGTTATCAAGTTCTCTGTTTTCTTCCAAATGTGTGGTTACCGGACGGTTATGATTGTCTTAATTCAATAATTAGCCGGCTCTTGATTTTTTAGTCTAAACAACAATGGGAAATTCTGTTGAGCTATGGTATACTTCATCTTGTTCTTCAAAGTAATTCGAAACTGATCTTTACGGTTGTTTTTACGCAGTCGCGGCAATCGCATCATTAAAAAAAGGACAAGCACTTTCCTGTTGATAGTTCTGACAAATCTTCTAAATATTTTTATTTTGCAGATCTTAATTAAGTTCGTAAAAAGCGCAAGAAAATAGTTCAGACACTTCAGTCATAAGATGTAATGCTTGATTTAACGCTTTCATTTAGATATGGAGTTCTCTTTCAAGTTGTAATTTCTATAGTAAACAGTAACTATACATTTGAAGAAAATTTAGTTTTTTTTTTGCTGCAAACCAATTTTATTTTTCGTATAATCTTAATTATAATGATAGTATTTAAATTTAGATTCATTATTTAGTAAAATATACACTATAAATAAAATAAATAATAATTATTCTTCAAACTTTTTTAAAAAAACGGAATCGCAATTTATTATAAATAAAAATTGAAATTAATTTAATAAAATATATAAATGAGGATTGGAGTATTTACAGTTGTGATTGTATAGCACGTTAAATGGATTAACAATTTAATATATTATAAAAATGTTATGACTTTTTATTGTCTCATTAATGTTATTTTTACACAATAACTGAGATTAAAAGAGAAATTTTTATAAACACATACAGTATATATGTATTTATTTAGATATTACTATGTATAGACTTCTCATATGACGCGACGACTACGACAGGCAAAAAAGACCACTCCTCGCGAGGGTAGTAATTGCAAAATATGGCAACCACCTACTGTGTGACCCCGAGACATACAAAACATTTGATATAACAATGTGTTTTGTTCAGTTTTTTTTTTATTACTATTATTTATATTGCCCCTTTTCGTGTATTATTATTATAGGTACGACAGGAGGAAATAAAACGGCAGCACAATTTTATTTACCCTTAACCATAATCTGTTGGCGCCACGTATCACACGTATTTATCCCAAATAGATAGCAGGTAAAAGTTACGGTACTGCAAACGGGTTGACCAATATTCACCGATACGCAAGAGCGGCAGATGCGCGTGTACCGATAGAAAATTAATTTTTGATTTAAACACAATATTACACGCACAGATGCACAGTTATAATATATATTATTGCATAGCACGAAATTTTGTGATACTCAAACAGTGGAGTGGTTTTAAAATTTTGTTGTCCATAAGGTGGATCATTTATCGTCGATGCACAATTGTTGCCTAACTTTTGATGCGATAACGCAATTTCATTATGGAGTCGGTTGGACAGAACGCTTACGACGATTTTTCCTGCAATACCTAAAATAATAACTGTAGGACCACATTTGATTAAGTGCTTGATTGCCTTTTTAAGTCCATACGATTTTATCGTTGAACATTTTTACCACAGTAACGAGAATATGTTCCACATAATATTATCGTCATGTGGCAATTGTATTTCCGTTATTCTATTCGTCTGAAAAAAAAAAACAAACCCATTTTTCGGAAATGCGAATTGCATAACGACTTCGTGCGATACAATCATCTGACACCCCACCACATAACATCGTGCATTGAAACTACCTCGTCGGACTGTAATGCGGGGGTGGTCTCGCGTACACAACAGATGCGGACATCCCCGCGTGCGGTGGCGAAGAGCTCGCGCGCGCGTTCCGGTACGGAGTCAACGTGAGAGATCCGCGTCAGAGTTTCCGGTCCACGACGCCGCGTCCTACCCTCCGATAACGGACGGTTTAATTGTGTGTCGGTCGGTCAACCGAAGACGGCCGTGTATTTGTATATTCGTGTGTGTGTGTGTCCGGATAACGTTTTTTTTTTTTTTTTTACACGCATGTAGACGATAATAATATTACGGGTGATTGTAGGTAGCGTGTATTGTGGGGAGGGGATGATAGGTTAATTACTCCTAGGGATGTCGGCTGTACATGCGCGCGGTGTATTATAATTCCGACGCACATGTTGATTCGTGCGTACATACAGAATATATAGGTAGTACATTTATATAATATACAGACGGGCGATGGCCGTGGGAACCGGACCGA